GTTGAGGCAGGAAGAATTGCTTGAACCTGGGAGGTGGAAATTACAGTGAGCTGAGATCACACCACTGCACTCCAGCCTAGGTAGCAAAGTAAGACTGCCTCGAAAAAAAAAAAAAAAAAAGCCTGGGCACCGTGGCTTGTAGGTTACCAGCCCCAACCCTGTTCATGGGTGTCCTTAGTCCTGGCGGTGGTGAGGGATTGAAAAGGAAATAAAGACGAATACACAAGAGTAGAATTTTACAGCATGGGTCCAGGGGACCAATGCAAGTGTGGGGACTGTGTTGGTATCAGGTTCTGGTTTCCACAGGATTTTATTAGGTGCCTACACTTGTCAATAGAGGAGTGGGGTAGCAGGGAGGGGGTTGATCAGGGGAGGCCTTGAAACTAATGTGGGCCAGATAGCCAGAGGTAGAAGAGTGGTCTACAGTATTCAGTAGCAGACATGATTCTTATTCTACCACCGGTTGCTATCAAGGTACATTTGCATCAGAAGCACAGTGGTTAAGGGGCCACCAGCTCTGACCACACCCAAAGCAGCAAGGGGCTTTTATCTCCTCAGCCTTGAGGACACAGAGCAATCAAAATTACGCCATATTCTGAGAACCTAGTCAGAACCTGTGACATTCCAATAATCTCTGCCCTGCAAGGCTTTTCCTCCTTGCAAGCTCCCATCTGCAAAGACCCTCCTGGATCTTGTAAGCAGAGGTCACCTCCCTTCTCAGAGATATTGCATAAGCCCTCTTATGAGACCCTCTTGCAAACTCTATATTGAGAAGGCATTCATGGGACCAAAGCAGTATTTCCTGCTCTGCAACTACCCCTCGGTGTTCCACAGTTTTAAGCACTCTTAGATGGTCTTTACCTTAGGCCTCCTGTTGCCGCTTGATTTCTCTTTTACTGCACCAATATTTGATATAGCTTAGTTCGGGGTATAAACTTCAGTATACAATGGGCAAAGCAAGCTTGTAATTATTTAACTAGAAATAACATAGGTCTGCCCCTGGCCATCTTGACCCACACCCTCCAAAGAGCCATCTCAAAACCTGTTGAAGTATATTTGGGAGTGAAATCGTTGACTTCCTTCCGCCTTTTTGGCCTAAAAGAAAGATGCAGAGGCACAAATTATAAAGAATTTACCTGAGCCAAAGTCAGGACAGCAGTTCAGAAATCTCAGGCCCAAGTCATCTTTGATATGAGCGCCATTGGCCTTTGTTAAAGATGGGTTTCTAAAGGCCAAAAAGTAGGGACAGAAGTGGGCTGATACAAAGTTTTTTGTCAGGCATTCTCATTGGTTTACAGAAATAGCATTAATTAGTTATTGGCCATATATTAAGCTATAGGGTGTGGGTTATAACGTGGGATGTGGCATTATTAGGTAACCTTATGGCTACTTGCAGCAATAACAAGCATTATCTAGAGATGAATACATAGCTCAAAGAGGGGAGTAGAATGTTATTACTGTCTCATTTTAATGTCACTCTGAGCCTGATAATTTAAAAGAACTCCTATTCCTCAAATAAAACTTATTTTCCTAGCCTGGTTTGGTGGGTCACATCTGGTAATCCCAACACTTTTGAAGGCCAAGGTGAGAGGATCCCTTGAGCACAAGTGAGACTAGCCTAGGCAACATAGTGAGGCATTGTGTCTTAGGAAAAAAATTATTTTCTTTTCTCAGTCTTATCTCAGTTGTGAGTTATTCCCCATCTACCCTTCTTTAAATTACAACTATCTATCTACCATCCATCTCTCCCATCCTCTAGCAGTCATTTCCTTTATCCATTTTAGCTTTTCTATATATTCTTTACCTAAGAGTATGCTAAACTTTTATTTTTTTTTTTCACTCTGTTGCCCAGTCTGGATTACAGTGGTGTCACTCGGGTACAAACAATTCTCATGCCGCAGCCCTCCAGAGCAGCTGGCACTACAAGTGTGCACAACCATGCCTGGCTAATTTTTTGCTATTTTTTTTTTTTTTTTAGTAGAGATGGGGTTTTGCCATATTGGCCAGGCTGGTCTTGAACCCTGACCTCAAGTAATCTGCCTGCTTGGACCTCATAGGCTAGCAATTTTGTGTAACTTGCGTCTTTCTCCCAGATGCATCCTCAATCTTGGCAAAAATAAACGTGGTTTACACTATTAGGGAGAACAAAAGTAGTACTGAGGCCAGGCGTGGTGGCTCACACCTGTAATCCAAGCACTTTGGAGGCCGAGGTGGGCGGATCACATGAGATCGGGAGTTCAAGACCAGCCTGATCAAAATGGTGAAACCCCGTCTTAAAAAAAAAAAAAGTAGTACTGAAAAGAGCTTTCGCTCTTATAGGCTGGTGACACACCAGAAGAATCTATAAAGCAAGCGTTACTAACTACCCTTTATTTGCTTTCCCAACGTTGCTGCCCCCGGAGACTCGTCCTTTTCTTTAGTCTTGTATATTCTCTAAAAATGTACTGTTCTTTATTGAAGACACTACATAAAAGCTGGAATTCAAAGCCACCTCAATGTGTACTCATTCCCTGAGTGTCTTTCATGTACATGTAATATATATGTTAGTACACTTCTGCTTGTTTTTCTTTGGTTAATCTTTTGTTACATGGGTTTGTTTCAACAAAGAACCTTTGCGAAGGGTGAGAGTTGAAGGGAAAATTATTCTGCCCTTTCTCCACCTTCATCTCCTATTGTCCCCTGCTCATTCCCCATAGTCACTATGGTACCTCACCAGTCTCCCTCCTCTTCTCCCTGAACACATGTGCACAGGTTGCTTCCTCATCTTTCAGCTCTTTGCTGAAATACTGTCTGCTTAATGAGGTCTTCATTGGTTACCGTATCTAAATTTCAGCTTCCCGTGACACTTCTTAGTCTTGCTTTTTTTCCTTCTCACCATCTAACATACTACATATGATATTTACCTATCTAGTTTATTTTCTATCTATTCCAGACTCAAATGAGCGCAAAAATTTTGTCTTTTGTTCTCTTGGTGTATTTCCAATGCACAGACCAGTATTTGGCACATTGTAAACTCTCAACCACTGTATTTGCAGTAAATGAAAATCAATGTTAAAGAAATATTTCATCCATATTGGATCATATTAAATTTTTAAAAAAGAAATACTATTTCTTATATGAGTAATGATGGCATCATATTTTTGTTTTTATTTTTGAGATGGAGTGTCACTCTGTCACCCAGGGTATAGTGTAATGGCATCATCTCAGCTCACTACAACCTCTGCCTCTCGGGTTCAAGAGATTCTTCTGCCTCAGCCTCCAAAATAGCTGGGATTACAGGCATGCACCACCAGGCCCGGCCCAGCTAATTTTTCTATTTTTAGTAGAGATGGGGTTTCACCATGTTAGCCAGGCTGGTCATGAACTCCTAACCTCATGGGATCTGCCCACCTCAGCCTCCCAAAGTGCTGGGATTACAGGTGTGAGCCAATGCACCTAGCCCATAAGGTGTTAAGTAGCAGATAACGTATTAAAATACAGAGATGAAATGATATTCAAATTGCCATTGCAAAATTGTAACTGAGACAGTGAACTCTCGAGATGTGACCTAACCAACTCCATCTTGCTTCTAACCTTCAAGCTGTCCTGGTTCATTCCTAGGCGCAGGATAAACTAACTTTGGGAGAAATTTAGTTTATAGTTTAAAACTGATATAACAGGCCTTTCCCAAAACAACCTTCCTTGCCTGCGGGCTAGACTGCCTTTGTGGTACTAACAAATTAGTCACAAGATTAGAAATTATGGTTTAGGTGAGGTGGCGAGGGTGTAATTTAGGTGAGATTACATGGTTCACGCATGTAATCCCAGCATTTTGGGAGGCCAAGGTGGGCAGATTACTTGAGGTCAGGAGTTGGAGACCAACCTGGCCAAAATGATGAAACGCTGTCTCTACTAAAAAAAATACAAAATTTATCTGGGCATGGTAGTGCACGTCTATAATCCCAGCTGCTCGGGAAGTTCAGCAAAAGAATCGCTGGAACCGAAGTAGCAGAGGTTGCAGTGAGCTGAAGTTGCACCACTGCACTCCATCCTGGGCTATGGAGTGAAACTGTCTCCAAAAAAAAAAAAAAAGAAAAATTATGGTTTAGGAGTCCTGCAGCTGGGACCTACAAGATTCTGACCCTACTTAAACTGCTTCAGAGATCACTGCTTGAGATATTTTGCAGACCAGATGGATCAGCTGGCACCAATTTAGATTGATAAAATGACTTATCCGATCTTGTGGCCTCCACCCAGAAACCGACTCAGCCCTAGGAGACAGCTTTGACTCCCTATAATTACATCTCTGACCTGACCAATCAGGACTCCTGGCTTAGCGGCTTCCCCCCGCAAATCCCCGGATGCTGGGGAGACTGATTTGAGTAACAATAGAACTATGGTCTCCAGCTTAGGTGGCTCTGCGTGAAGTATTTTTTCTATTGTAATTCCCAGTCTAGAAAAATCAGCTTTGCCTAGGCAGTGGGCAAGGTGAACCCATTGGGTGGTTACACTATTTGCTTTACAAAAATCAAACCGGTGGGATTAAGTACTAACAGATAAAACACATTTCACCAGTGTTGATACTGAAGCTGAATGAGAGGAACATAGGTTTTATTAAACTATTATCTCCTTTCCCATATATTCTGAAATGTCACATAAGTTTTTAAAATAAAAACTTGAAAAAATTGACAAGTTGCTAAATTAATAAAAGTCATAAAGGATCTGCTCAATATCCACACAGGGCCTTGTGCTAATCTGTAAAGGAAGAGTCCTCTATGAAATCGGGTATCTTGGTTGTAAATCAAGAGGCCCAGGAAGGTATCTGTTCACCTTGGCGTAAAAATATTAATTAATGTTGCCCTCAGAAATTTTATTATTGTTTTTTATTCCTTATTTTGCTAAGATGGGGTTTCACCATGATGGCCAGGCTGGTCTTGAACTCCTGACCTTAGGTGATCCACCCACCGCGGCCTCCCAAAGTGCTAGGATTACAGGCGTGAGCCACCGCGCCCGGCACCCACAGAAATTCTTATTAAAGCCAGGTGTTGAAAGATAGTCATCAAGCAAGCCAGAAAGTCTTCCCTTATAGACCAGTAGATTCTCTCTGAAAGCAAACAAGGAAACGGATTCAATTAGAAAACTTTGCTAAGCCTAGTCAAAGTATTAAAACCTATGTAGCCAGGAGTCTAAGCACCATCTGTTTATTAAAAGCACCTGAATTTTAATAATTACCATTCCCTGGGCTCACCCTACAGGGATTGCTGTCTTGATTGAACCCCCGGCAAAGATTTTTCTAAAGCCTTGCCATGTAACTGGAATGTCACAGAGACAACTGATCTGTAAAGAAATCAGACTATCTTAGAGGATTGTTCTGTGCACTTGCTTTAGAGAACATGTCATAGAATATTTCATTCAGTTATATCAACATGCATTTTGCAAAAACTCACTGCTGGTAACAGTTCACAGGCAGGATGCCTTTACTGATGAGACCTAGGCTTCTTCAGTGTTCGTGATAATCATCTGAGGTATAATGCAGATTGACTCCAGCCCTAATAGGGATTGAAAGAGCTACACTTCTAACAATGCCCATGCTGGCTGTAGTTGGCCTATCTGGCTTTGGTTTCTGCCACCAACTTCTGATGCTTAAACTATTGGTCAAAATCACATCATTTCACATTAAGACCAAGAACTGGGAACTGGCCGGGCACGGTGGCTCAAACCTGTAATCCCAGCACTTTGGGAGGCCGAGGCGGGTGGATCACGAGGTCAAGAGATCAAGACCATCCTAGTCAACATGGTGAAACCCCGTCTCTACTAAAAATACAAAAAAAAATTAGCTGGGCATGGTGGCGCGTGCCTGTAGTCCCAGCTGCTCAGGAGGCTGAGGCAGGAGAATTGCCTGAACCCAGGAGGCGGAGGTTGCGGTGAGCCGAGATCGCGCCATTGCACTCCAGCCTGGGTAACAAGAGCGAAACTCCGTCTCAAAAAAAAAAAAAAGAACTGGGAACTGAGCAAATAGCTTGCTTCAGACATGAAAAAGCAGCAACAAAGGATAATGTTCTCAACTGCCAGTGCTCAAAGGGATTAACTACAAATAGTTTAAATTAAAAAAAGAAATCCCTTCTATAATGGGTGTACACAGATAACGTGACTAAAGTTTGAAACCCAAGCCATCTATAAAATGAACCCATGTGTCCCATTTCACCACCGAATCCAAGCAGCAAACCCCCAAAACCCAGTTAATAAAAGGGAGCACGCTTACAATCTCGCATGTCCCAGAGAAAGCAGGTGACATAGTAAGCTAGCCCTCAACTTTGGATGATCGAATTAGGATTTAAATACTGCAACCAACATAACTTTCACAGAATTAGATCAGTTAATCACAGCTTTTTTCGGGCAAAAGTAGGCGGCTCTTAAAAGAGCCTTTGTGAGTTGGATAGAATTATTGCCCAGAAAGTTTTACGCTCTCTCCCCACGAATGCGGCGTGCGAGCTGAATGTCCTTGGGCATGATAGTCACCCGCTTGGCGTGGATGGCGCACAGATTGGTGTCCTCAAAGAGCCCCACCAAGTAGGCCTCGCAGGCCTCCTGCAGCGCCATCACCGCAGAGCTCTGGAAGCGCAGGTCGGTCTTGAAGTCCTGAGCAATTTCTCGCACCAGGCGTTGGAAAGGCAACTTTCGAATCAGCAGCTCGGTCGACTTCTGGTAGCGGCGGATCTCCCGCAGAGCCACGGTGCCGGGCCGGTAGCGGTGGGGCTTCTTCACACCGCCGGTGGCTGGAGCGCTTTTCCGAGCTGCCTTAGTAGCCAGCTGCTTCCGCGGCGCTTTCCCACCAGTGGATTTACGTGCAGTCTGCTTGGTACGAGCCATCTTGGGCTAATTGAAAAACAGCCTTTTAGTAGAGTAGACAGTGCCCTTATATAGACTCAGAAACACTCTAATTGGCCTTGTTGATTCTCAAAAGTCCCGCGCCATAAAACCATTGGCTGAAGAGTGCAACAAAGTGATTGGTGAATTGCTGGAGATTCTGATTGGATGAATTACTTCACTTTTGAATCCTCTCTTCTCTGTTGAATCCTCTTTTCTCTTTATTAACAGTCTGCAATCTAAGAGCGTTCATTTCCTAAAGTTGTAATTCTGCGGTTCTCAAGCTGTAGTCTGTAACAGACTACTTTGGAAGACACTAAATCTCTTTCAGTAGATCTGCTGTGGGGCCAGATTCCGAGGGCCACGTTTTATCTTGTGACGTTTTCTTGAGTCACCTGGACTGCTAGTACCTAGCTCCACTCAGTGAAACCTTTGTTATATGGCAAGATTCCTGGGTGGTGTACCTGAGAAATCACAGACTAAGAGGTCACCGGCATACAGCAGTGAGCAATAAATGTTAACTGACTTATATTTTGTCCCAAATGGTTTTTTGCTTCGGTTGAGAATTTTCAAAGCACAGGTTATTTTAGATTTTCCAATGACTATCCCTTATTTTCACTGGGTCCTACTGACGATACACTAGGCTACCACACCCACTGGCCTCTTCACGGTAACTTGAGGGGCACTAGACTGGCCCTGTCTATCTAAAGCTTGCGATGTTTTGTAAACGTTAACGAACTTGCTTCTTCCTGACTACATTAAAACACTTACAAATATTAAACATATTCTCATTAGTCCTGTTTGCCTAGTCAGTCACTTGTGTAGACAGAGCAACAGCACGGCATGAATATTGGGCAGGACACGGCCCTGCGCGACAGTGACTTTGTCCAGCAGTTCGTTGAGCTCCTCTTCGTTGTGGATGGCCAGCTGCAGGTGTCAGGGGAGGATGCAGTCTTGTCCGGGCCGCATTGCCCGCCAGATCCAGGATCTTGGTCACGTACTCCAACACAGCCGCCACGTACAGCAGCGCGCCGTCCCGCACCGACCCAGCATAGCTGCCCTTGCGGAGCAGGCAGTGCACTCCGACCACAGAATACTGGAGATCAGCCCTGAATAGCGCGTTTGGCCGCAGCTTTGCTACACTGCTTTTCACTCCAGACGTAGCTAAGTATTTAAATAGGAGGCGCAAGGTGACTGATTCTAGTAAAGCGCAAGCAGCTAATCTGTGTTCGGCAAAATACCCTGTGCTATTGCCTGAACACAAATTCCAGCCATTCGAAAAGAAGAAGGCGTTAAAAAAAAAAAAAAAACACTTTCTAAATAATTATGCTTGAAAGGTCAAATTAGGCAAGGTTGAGCTTCTGGGAGAGCCAATGAGACTTAGGAATTCAGAAATGGCCTATCACATGTTCAGACACTAAAAGAACCAATCAAAAACCGAAATACCAATCCTCATTTGCATATATACGAAATAAATAATGAGGGCGTTTGGGCTTGCCATCATATTGCTTGTCATTACTTGAGGTGAATACATAGGCTGTGAGCATGCCTGAGCCAGCGAAGTCCGCTCCCGCCCCGAAGAAGGGCTCCAAGAAGGCGGTGACCAAGGCCCAGAAGAAGGACGGCAAGAAGCGGAAGCGCAGCCGCAAGGAGAGCTACTCCGTGTACGTGTACAAGGTGCTGAAGCAGGTGCACCCAGACACCGGCATCTCCTCCAAGGCCATGGGCATCATGAACTCCTTCGTCAACGACATCTTCGAGCGCATCGCGGGCGAGGCTTCCCGCCTGGCGCATTACAACAAGCGCTCGACCATCACCTCCAGGGAGATCCAGACGGCCGTGCGCCTGCTGCTGCCCGGGGAGCTGGCCAAGCACGCGGTGTCCGAGGGCACCAAGGCCGTCACCAAGTATACCAGCTCTAAGTAAACTAGGTGTCTGAGTAAAAGCGCCAACGACCCAAAGGCTCTTTTAAGAGCCACCCATGTTGTCATTTAAAGATCTGTAATTCTCCAAAACTTCCCTTAACTAGAACCACCCCCACTTTTCTGCCTCCACACCACCACATTCAGGTTTTTGTTTTTAGTTTCAGTTTACCATCCTATTGCCCTTGATTGGGAGTACCGGGTGGAAAACAAGTTTGGGGTACTATTACAGTTAAATAAGGTTTGAAAACCCGAAACTTTCCTCTTGTAATTCGTTACTATCTTGCGAATGGTTGGAGCAGCATATGATGGAGGAAATCACCTCTGTTGGCTGCGTTTATAAACCACGGCGGATTGCTACCAGACTTTCTCATATCCCGGTTGTCCCAAGTCCACTAACTTCTCTACAAATTTTACTGAGTTTATAATTCTTGGATTACTTCACGTATCTATATATATTATCTCTTGGCAAGATCAGGAACTCTACCATCTTCCTGCCTGAACATATTGAGGTTTAAGAGAAAGAACGGGTGCCGGGTGTGGTAGCTCACGCCTGTTATCCCAACACTTTGGAAGGCCGAGGCGGACAGACCACCTGAGGTCGGGAGTTCGAGGCCAGCCTAGTTAACAAGGTGAAACCCTATCTGTTTAAAAAAAATAAATTAAAAAAAAAAAAAAAGAACAGGCAACAGGATAGCATGACTTTGGAGCAAAGAAATGAAAACTCCAGGGGCTACATTCAGGTGCTTTTTATCTGTAAGCCTTTTTAAGGTTTCAAGGACTGAGTTCTCCCTAAACTACCTCCTCTGTATCCTGGAACGACTTTGTCCACAGCTACTTCCTTTCCTGAAATTTCATTTTAAGAGAGGAGGGTTACAAGGAATTAACATTTGTATGGTAGTCCTTAGAATGAATTATTTCATTCGTTTTTTTTTTTTTTTTTTTTTTTTTTCTAGTCAGCTGTGAAATGCAATCTCCTTTTTCACGGGTGACTGACCTCAAGACTTAGGTTAAGTAACTAGCCTCTTACACATAAATAAAACTGAGATTTTAATCTCCTCTAGCTGATTCTAAGGATTACTTCCCACTATTTGTTAGAGACCATCCCAAGCAGGATCCTAGTTGCTGTCATAGGAGTCAGAAAATTTTCTCAATTGTAATAAAAGTGGTCAGGAGATACACATATTCTTGGTTGCACAGCAAAGTCCTTATACCAGAAAAATTTTCTTTTAAAAATAAAATAGTAATGTGACCTTTGGGCCCTAAAGATCACGTGGCAGAAGTTTAACTTTTTCTGAGCACTGTATTCTGGAGGGGAAACATGGGCATTGCCAATGTACGGTGAGCTTTAAAATCTTATTGTCTATTAGCTTACATGTCATTATCTGCAAATACCCACATAGCAGATTACTGAGAACATTTAGTGACCAAAATTTCTTTTTAATTTTTTGTTTTGAGACAGGGTCTCACTTCTTTGTTATCCAGACTGGGGTGCAGGGACATAACCACGGCTCACTGCATTCAACCTCCCTGGTTGTGTTCCCACCTGTCTCCCAAGGAGCTGGTACTATATGCACACACCATCATACCCGCTAAATTTTTTTTTTTTTTTTAAGATTTTTGTGGAGCCGGGGTCCCACTGTGTTGCCCAGGCTGGTCTCAAAGTAAATTTGTAATGGAACTTGTGAAGAAAATTCTCTAAGCTGCATGTATAACTAAGGCATTCATTTATCACTCTCCAAAGCTACTTTTAAATACATTTTAAATTACATAGTCATGAAATATTCAAGCACGAAGGCATTTATTCCTTGCTCTCCAAAGCTAATTTTAAATACATTTAAAATGATATATTCATGAAATATTCTAGCATGGTTTAAGGGGGACATCCCTCAGGAAGTGATATAGTCCTGATTGCCTGTTTCCATCCTGAGTTTGGGCAATTTATTTAATTCCTCTGTAAGTACTTCCTTGCCTGTTTATTCTAAACAGGAATAATAATTAGTAACTACTGCATGACATTACTGGAGTGACCAATAAAAGGAAACAGCTAAAGCACTTAGGACTTGAGCTGTCTGCACAGAGGATGTCCCGGTAAATATTAGCTGTAGCTAAAGCCTCTGGTGAGTGATAGCGAAGGTGCCTTTGGTCCTGCCCACACTGAAAGCCCAGTGTCCTGAGGCCTGGAATAATTAGCATTGGGCTTTTCTGTCAGTGTAAACAATACTCTGAACAGTTCAATTTCCTCCTTAGAGCCATTGCTTTCCTCTGAAGCATTTTGGAGACATACTACTGCCTGAGGATGTTTGATTTCCCTATCTTTGCTTGCCAATTCAAGCAACATGTGTCATATTTTCCAGGGACTGTCTCATGCTCTCACTAGAACTAGGGGTGCCTCATTTAATGGTCAGATGTGTTGAGTTGTAAAGAAGGAAACCTAGAAATTCACATAAGAATTGCTTAGTACCTTCTTACTCCTTTTTTCTTCCCATGTTTCCTATTAACTTTGCTAACATTGCTATATTTATTTTCCATCCATTTGCTGACTACGTTTCCCTCGGATACCTCCAGATCACAGCCATGTTTCCAGATGAACTTCTGCACCTTAGTAAGTATGTTATTTAATTAAAATATAGGAAATTGGCTGACTGATGAGGGCCACACTTTCCTGAATCCATTCCATCCCTGAGACATAGGTCACTTCAAAGGAAACTGATTGGCATAAATGTTCTGCTCAATAAACTGCACCACAGTTTTGGTCCATGAATTCTATTTGAGATGTAACACTGAGGCACTAGGGCCCACTCCCTCACTCTTTGAGGCCAGGTAGGCCAAGAACCTCGAATTCGAAGTCCGGCCACACAGTGATCTCCCACGAGGCCCCACCTCCAACACTAGGGATTGCTATTGAACATCTTGGGTGTGAACACAGATCCAAACCATATCAAATGTATATCCTTTGCTCATTCATCTGTCTTTTGTTTCAGGGCCCCAGCCAATGAATTTATTTAAAATGGGTAAAAGAAAAGCTGTTCTCTTCCCTATAGCACACAGTGGGTGTGGGAGGGCATCTGTGTTCTGTATGTCTGTCTGTCTTTCTAGTGTAGACAGACATAATATTGAAAAAAATGCAGAGAAAAATAATCCCAGGATGAAAATGTTTGAGAAGCGTATTCATGTGCTAGGGCTGCCATAACAAAGTACCACAGACTGGATAGCTTAAACATTTATTTTTTCACAATTCTGTGAACAGGGTTCATTTCTTCTAAGGTATCTCTCCATGGTGTGTTGATGACTGTCTTCTCCCTGTGTCTTCCCATTATCTATTCTGTGTTTGTGTGATCAGTCTTCTTTCCCTATGAGGACACCAGTAAAATTGGATCCAGACCCACCTCAGTAACTTCATTTTATATTTTTAAAAACCCTAACTCTAGGGCTGGGTGCAGTGGCTCACACCTGTAATCTCAGCACTTTGGGAGGCCAAGGTGGGTGAATCATGAGATCAGGAGTTTGATACCAGCCTGGCCAACATGGTAAAACCCCATCTCCACTAAAGATACAAAAAATTAGCTGGGTGTAGTGGCGGACGCCTGTGCGAAGCTGTGGCAGGAGAATCGCATGAACCTGGGAGGCACAGGTTGCAGTGAGCCGAGATTGAGCCATTGCATTCCAGTCTGGGTGGGTGACAGGGAGAGACTCCGTCTCAAAAAAAAACAAACAAACAAAAAAAAAAAAACCCTAATTCTAACTGTAGTCATATTTTCAGGTACTAGGTATTAGGAATTCAACATATGCAGCAGGGAGGAGGGTACATGAGTCCATGACAAGAAGTGCAGCAATTAGGCTTCCAAATACTACCTGAACTAAGTATTCCACAAGTGGCTCAAACTCATCAGGACCAAGACTGGCCTCATTATCCTCTCCCCAGCTCCACCCATCCAAGTTTGAAATTTGGTCCTCATCCTAGACTACCGCCATTCATTTTCACCATATATTTAATAATATACAAATTCCTATTCTACTGATTCTCACTTCTATTTTAACATCATATTTTTGTTTATCGTGCTAACAATTGGAAATATAAATGTTGAAGAGTAGGCGTTTCACTAAAAATAGGATATATCAGGCCTGGCACAGGAGCTCATGCCTGTAATCCCAGCACTTTGTGAGGCTGAGGCAGGCAGATCACTTGAGCCCAAGAGTTTGAGACAGCCTGGGCAACATGGTCAAACCCCATCTCTACAAAAAACACAAAGATTACTCTGGTGTGGTGGTGTGCGCCTGAAGTCTCAGCTACTCAGTAGGCTGAGGTAGGAGGATTGCTTTAGCCTGGGAGGCAGAGATTGCAGTGAGCCATGATCCTGTCACTGTATTCCAGCCTGAGAGACAGAGTGAGACCCTGCTTCAAAAAAAAAAAAAAACAAAAGGAGTTTTTTTTATTTTTACTTTTTTTTTTTTTTTTTTTTAAAACATAGGGTTTCACCATGTTGGTCAGGCTGGTCTTGAACTCCTGACCTCAAGTGATCCGCCCGCCTTGGCCTCCAAAGTGTTTGGATTACAGGTGTGAGCCACCACGCCCGGCCAAGAAAAGGAGTTTTATCCATAATGAAATACTATGCAGCTGTTAAAACTAACGTCAAAAATAATATGCTTCAAGGCTAGTACTTTGGAAAAGGTGCCAAATCATGTATTCTCATTTATATTAATATATCATACACATATGTAGTACACTTATAGGAAAAACACTGACTAGAAGGATCAATGCCAAAATGTTAACAATTTTATTACCGTCTTTGGGATAAAAGGATCACCTCCTCTGGAGAGAACTTTCTCTATTTGGCTGTCTCTAAAACTCCCGATAGTGTGCTTTGCTTAAGAAAAAGTTCTCCATTAACCCTTTCCTTTTCCAAGTTTCCCTGTCCTGTGTTAAAAATTTTTTTTTCTACACTGCTTCCATATTTGCAGAAAAAAAGGTAACTGAACAAATAATTATTGAACACCATGTACACAGTATTATTCTAGGTTTGGTATGTAAAAAATGAATAGAATCA